CCCTCACCTATCATCCGGGGCTGGTACAATAGACCAGTAGTGGCCGCAGTACCAAGTGGACTCAGTCTCACCCCACTACGAACAGTAAACTAATTCTAATCGCAGACGTACACGTGACCTAGCGTCCGTTGCTGGTCAGGCTTAAAAGAGTGAGGGAAATGAAAAGCAGGCTGAAGCGTGTATGGCCAGCCCTAAGTTGTGTACTCCACGCAGTTCTAATTCCAGAGGATATGGCACTGATTGGTCCTGAGCTGTGAGCAGATATGGTATGGAATTACTACTCCAGCGTCTGCCTGAGACTTAAGCAAAGCAAGAACTCAGTCAGGATCGCAGGTAACACAGGCGGGATTTGAATGAACAACCTCCTGAATACAAATCTAGTCATGTCATTAAATCAACTTGATAATTAGGGTCTACGTGTAATGTTTTAACAAAATATTTGTTGCGGGCCTACTTCCCCCTCAGAATGTGTCTTTCGGCATACGAACTCGGTACCTCTGAAATACTGTAAATTTAACAATGTTATCTATGTTGCGTTTGAGTGGATAGTAACCCTTTTGCTTACAGCAAGGATATCTGGCTGAAATCTCGGAATGGGGTCTGGGTGTCCTGGCTAAAGTTTTCTTGATTTTCTTCAGTCTCGCAAGTCAGATTCCACCGTTATTAACTCAAATTAGTCCAAACCGCTTCCATTCACGTAAGTTCTAATTCATTATTCACTAAAAGGTAAAAAGGTAAAGCTATCCCTGTAACAGGCCTTGGAGATCCATAGGGTTATGAGATGTTGAGGTCCCCATATTTTATAGAAAATCGACTCACAGATGACGGTGAAATTGTCAGTCTTATGCTTCGGCCGCCATTTACCCCTCACGAAGATTCCTGGTACTCATTTCTGTTAGAGGCTGAGTCGACCCCGGGGCCATAGTTCGGCTGGAAGGTTTATGTCAAATGACCTCAACGTTACAGAAACCGAGCTTCTGTTGGAGTACTTAAATGAAGCGTAAATAGAGATATATATCATATTCTGAAATATTAGGCACATGTTGAGCTCAATACTGTGCATATCACCTTGGTATTGCGAGACACGATTCAGTTTCAAGCTCTGAAAAAAACCAGTTAATCCTTGTGTCCTTTTTCAGATGCGGAAGTTGACAGCGATTTGCGTCGTAATGTTGACTCTATCTACCACGAGAACCACTCACGCCATGTGCCACGACAGCGCAGAATGTGCCCCTTCCGGATGCTGTACTGTAGGTAGGCCCTCCGGTCACGGCTACTTTACGAAACAGTTAAGGTTTTTCTTTTTATATTTGCGCGTCTCAAGTCCCACAGTTTTGCTAAGTGAAATGTTTCCTTAAGGGATGTAGTTTTGTATGGGTCTGAAACTGAATCTCTCTAGAGGTGGAACATACACAGAGAATGTTTGAGAACAGGGAGTTCAGGAGAATATTTGGACTTGGAGGAAGTGAGATGTGGCTGGAGAAAACGACGTAATAGGGCACTTCCAAATACATACTATTTGCCTGATAAACTCACGGGTGAAATATGAGACACACATGGCACGCGTACAAGGGTTTGGTACGAAATCCTGAAGGTAAGAGACAACTTGGATGACCTAGACGTAAATGGGAGGATAATATTAAAATAGATTTAAATAAATATAATGGGAAAGCATGAACTGGATTCACTTGGTTTAGGATAGGGCTTTTTGCGAAAACGGTATTGAATATTCGGGTTGCATAAAATGCTTTAAATTTTTGATTAGCTGAGCAACTGTCAGCTCCTCAAAAAGAACTCGGCTCCATGGAGTTAATTTGTTACTTATTAAGGAGGACTAAGCTGGAAACTGGTGAAATTTTGTAATGAGAAGCTCATGATTTCTGTTTAAAAAGGCAAAGTTACTTACCCCTTTGAGCAAATGAAGTTCGTCTTGATATGTTGGGATTTTGGACTTTATCCATCGTCCTGGTTTTTAAGATAACAAATAAAAACACGACGTTTCGGAAACTGGATCTGTTT